TATCTTGCTCTATCAAAATCACACAAATTCATAAAATAAAATCAAGATAAACATAATAGAGATTTATTCTGTTGTATTGCGAATACACACTTTTATYGATCAAATTAGCAAAATTTATTAMAATACAAAAAAGTTTSGTTTAATTTCTATTTAGTGTTATAAAGATTTTTTTTTCTCAGTCATTGTATATACATTTAAAAAAAAAATTCAATCTTACACCTAACCATTTTAATCAGTAATCCACTAATCTTATAACATTTAATAATATGGATACCTATAAACCTTTACAAAAGGGTTGGCGAAGTAGACAATATCTRTACCATCACATGTTACAAAATCAAYAGATTATTGGTTAAATTGATGAAAAATRTATCATTTTATAGTTTTATAAAATATAAAATTTTAAAACTTTATTATTATATGGATTAAAATCTTTCTTAATATATTGGAGTTGTGTTTTGTGTTACTATAAGTATATAATAACATTTTTAGTAATTTTTTAATTACAATATACTACTAATTTTAAAAAATAAGATTAGTTATTAATTTTTAAATAGACCTCACTCTATCTAGGGAACTACCCATCCATCTCTTTCTTYTCTCTGTGTCAATCTCTAGGGAAAAAATGGATATGCAGTCAATTCCGGCAATAGCCATCGGCAGTACGGCGGTGGCAATCGCCCTTGGCCTTTTCTTCTGGTTCTTCAGACGCCATGTTCCTGATCACATCGATCATCCAAATCATCTTCCTTCTGTTCCTGGTACTGATCTACGTTTTTTAGATGCAATTTTTGCTTGTTCTAACTAACAATTAGGTCAAGTTCGTATTCATCAAATGCAATGAATTTTGGTTACGCTACAAACACAGCAGGCTTTGTTTGTTTTAGAATTTTGATTTGATCTGGATACCGATTTGGATGATGAGTGTGATTCGAAAATTTCAGAGGTGCCAGGGATACCGGTGTTGGGGAATTTACTGCAATTGAAGGAGAAGAAACCATACATGACTTTTACAAAATGGGCAGAAACTTATGGACCTATTTATTCGATTAGAACTGGAGCCATTTCCATGGTGGTTGTTAGTTCAAATGCTATCGCCAAGGAGGTAACTCTTTGCCCTTTTTTGCTGATATGATTGTAATTTTTGGCCAATCGCCATTTTCAGAAAAACTGTTCCAGTGATACTGACACAGATTTGGAATCAAACTCGAATTGTACAGAAAGATATGCAACCAACTCAAATATTGACTACATGGAAAACGTTGATTTTATGATATTTAAATAAAACTGAATAAAAACCGTTGTAGAATGGAAGTTTTTGTTTTATGAATATTACTTGTATAATTTATTTTAATAATTTAAATTAATTTTGTTGTTGATATTATATATTTTTGAAAATTTTAAATGTTTTTATTTTAATGAAATTTTATAATTTATGTGGAAGATGGTCTAAAGATCCCACTACTCATTGCTTTTGATCAAACCATCACTTTCATCAACTAACCATTTTTTAATTAAATGGTTCTCCAACGGCCTTTCTTTATTGGAGTGGTTTGATATCATTCAATTAAATGGTTTTTAGGGATTTGAATTTTATAAAAAGATTTAAAAATAAATAAATTATAGTGTTGATTTTTATCTCGGTAAGTGAGGATGACGATTCTTACCCTGGTAAGCGTTTACCCAGTAAATTGTTGCATTTGATATGTTTTAATGTACTAAAATCTTATGCATCAAAATAAATTATAGTGTTGACTCATATTGGTAAACATTTACCAGATAAACATTTAGATAAACGACTTGATAGTGTTTAGGGCATGATAGATACACCTCCCAAACAAAAAGACAAAAAATTTCGTGAGGATACCCATCCTTTCCGATCAATAACGACATTTTCAGTGCTTGATTTTGTATTCTCTT